TGGACTGCCCCTTTACCAAGCAGATTTGGCACGACATCCTGTCTTGGCTGCGCCTCCCTTGCAACGCGCCTAACGGTGAAACCTCCCTGTCGACCTGGTGGCACACGGCGCGGCAGACCACACCCAAGCTGATGCGCAAAGGACTTACATCCGCGGCGCTGCTGATCCCTTGGATGACCTGGAAGCATCGCAACGATTGTGTCTTCAATGCAGCCACCCCTTCGACTAGCGTCCTAGTTGCAAAGATAAAAGAAGAAGCTGCGCTCTGGGCGACCGCGGGTGCTCGAGGCCTGCGTGTCATCCTCCCACAGACCTGGGATGTCCACTAAAGTTATTTTGTGTTTCTCACCTGTAATGGTGCCTCCTAGGAGGATGTAACAAACTATCCCTCTCTTTTCAATATAATGAAACGCAAAAGCCTTTTTGCGTTTTCTCGAAAAAAAATATGTATTCCAAGAAAAAAGGTGGGGTTGTGCCATCTTCCTTCTTCCATCGCACCATTTCCACATCTTGTTTAAGGGTTTGCCAAATACTCCCTCCGTCCCATAATATAAGAGCATTTTTTAAACTAGTGGTGTCAAAAACGCTCTTGTATTATGGGACGGGAGGAGTATGTCATATGAGTATGCCTCACAGTTTTGATATTTCTATGTTATCTTGTTTTCCTAACTCCAAGTCAGTTTCTGTGCCCATGGATTTGCAGACTGATGTGCCACATGCATGACTAAATTTATTTTTATGATTTCCATAGCAACAAGCAGGCATTCACCTAGATTATCAAATAAATAAAATTGTGAAGACATAATGCTAGTACTAATCAGTCTGTATGTTTTTGCTATGTACTAATAGTATATGACCACACACCAAGTGAGTGGATAGGATCCCCATAATCTCCAGTTAGGTCATTTATCACATAAAAATGGGGAGGCTACCATTCAGCTTGACCATGGACCCATTATGGGGAACACAATCTAACTTCCCGTCTCATCTTCCTCCCTGTGGTTCAACGGCTGTCAAAGGACAGCCGCGCCTCTTGGGTCCAGGGCTGTCTCATTCTGGCCTAAACAGCCAATATCCTATGAAATAAATTTGCTCACCTCCTGCCCTGAGGAAAGCTGAATCTCCATAACGACTTTTAAATCTTGCAGTTACAGCTTCATCAACCTCTTCCTTAACACTGCAGCACAATGTAGGAAACTCACCGTGATAAATCCAAAAAAAGAAGATATCAAGAGACACATACCATGCACAAAATGAGAGTATTAAACAAGGGAAATATACCAAATAGTTGCATATACTTTACAGCAGATAATTTTAAAAAAATATAAAACAATTTCTCCATGGGTCTGTTTAAATGCAAGTTTAGAGTGTAGCAGAAATATGCATTACCGCCAGATCAATTTAACAATCGTAATGTACTCCCTCCGTCCCAAAATAAGTGCCGCAGACTTAGTACAACTTTGTACTAATGTTGCACTAAATCAGCGACACTTATGTTGGGACAGAATGCAGCTTGTTGGGCTACAGGAAGAGATGGTCACAGATGCAGAGCAACAGGAGATGTAAAAAAAGTAAAAAAACACAAGTACAAAATAGCTAATGAGGTAGTTTTGGGGATAAATTTGTAAATCTCGGAAGCTGCTCTTACACAAACTCAAATAGAAATAGGGCAGGGAGGAGTAGTGTAGGATGCAGTGAGAGAGAAGTATGGGTAAGCCAAACAGAGTGTTTGTTCATCAATACTGAAAGTGTGCATACCTGACCATCCCGCGAAACTACATGAATTCACGAATTGAAGGCCTTTGTACGTAGGGGGTCTTTCTTTGTTTGGTACCAGAGCAGTTCATCCCAACAAAGTTGCCATCAAAATCAACAAGGGGACCTCCAATCCCCACCTAGCACAAACATGAGGATGAAGTTATGCATGAAAAATGCAATTAATAATTCCTGAAACTAAGGATATGCATCAGCACATACAATGATATAAGCCATTCATACCATCATGCAGCAGTTATATGTTTGAACTGTACAAACTAAAGCAGCTAGCTCACCTCATGGATACGGCATGTGCTTAACATCTCCTCATCTGTAAGAGCGCATACAGAGGCAAGATCTACTCCACTTGTGGCCTTTAATTCTCCTGAATCATAATGCCGCCATACAGCTGCTACCTTCCTATAAGGCTCAAACTGCGTGGCACGATCAAGACTTAGATGACATAGATGGAGGGGATCAATAACATCGTCGTTCTTGATTTTGACGATAAAAAAATCAACATATATCTCAGGATTCTCTATCCACCCAGTGACAATCTGATCATCAGGAAGGCGTACTTTAATCTGAAATGAGCACATGGCAATGGATGTACTGTATTAATCATTACAGGTGCAGCAAATATATTAGCATAACTAATAATCCAGAAAAGGTTACCGTCAAACTTTCAGTGATCTTCCCTAACCACCAAGTATAAGGAATCAAATTTATCGATGTCAGGAAACACGTAGCATCAGGACATGAGCTTTCGATGCATGTGCCCGTGCATTCGTGTAATTGGGTATCACCTGGAGAGGGAGAGTCATACATGCAAACTCAATAGCTGATCATAAAAAAACAAGGTAACATGAGAAATTATTAACAGTATAATCACCAACCATCGAATGAGGCCAGCGCCACAATGCTCATGCTTAATCTGGAAAGTACTTGCTTACTCAAGGCACCTTTTCTGGATTTACTCAATTTCTCTACGGACTTAGCACTCAAACCTAGTTAATTGAAATAAAATCATGTGTGATACAGTTAACAGAACAATCTACCATGAATAGTCAGGAAAAGGAAGCAGAAATGGACTCACTTGGCCTAATTGCTTTCATCTCACTGTTCATTCTTGCCCTTGAAGCATCATCAAACCCTTCCTTAACTCTAACACTGCAGCGTAACGCAGAAAACTCAAAGTGATAAATCCACGAAGGCAATGTATCGCAACCACATACAAAAAATGAGCAAGTATTAAACAAGGGAAATTTAGAACAAGGGAGCCAAATAGTTACAGATATTTCACAGCAGAGAAATGTAAGAAAATCTTAAACAATTTCCCCATGGGTCTTCTTGTTAAATGTAAGTTCAAGTGCAACAGAAATATGTATTAGCGCCGGCATTGAAATAACAACCTTAATCTAGTGCAGTGCAGATCTAAACAATTTAAGAAAAGAAACACATGAGTAGAAAAATAGCTAATGGTACAGTTTTTGGGATATTAACTCGTAAACCTTCGAACCTGCTGTTTGGCTTTGAATGACACACCTTGCACACAAACTCAAATAAAAATAGAAGGGATATGTACAATAGGATGCAGTAAGAGAGAAGCATGAGTAAGCCAAAGAAGGAAGGGCAGTTCATCAATACTGACAGTGTACATACCTGACCTTCCCGTGAAGCACCAAGAATCGGAAAATTCCCTCCCTTCGCACGTAGGCAGTCTTCTCCATTTTGGTACGAGAGGAGTTCATCCCGACAAAGTTGCCATCAAAATCGACAAGGGGGCCTCCAATCCCCGCCTAGCACAGAAGTGACCATGAAGTTACACAGAGAAAATGCATGCAATTCATAATGGCTGAAACTGTATAAAAGCAGCTCACCTTGTGGATCCGGCACGTGCTTACGATTGTCTCATTGGTTGGAGAGGCGAGATTTAGTCCACTTGTGGCAGTTAAAAATCCTGAACTGAAACAGCGGCATACAGCTGCTACCTTCGTATGAGGCTCAAACTGCATGTCACGGCAGACTTGCGGCATCAACACCAGACACGTTCTTGATGTTGACAATGAAAAAATCAACATATATCTTAGGATCCTCTATCCGCCCAGTGACAATCCGATCATTCGGAAGGCGTACTTTAATCTGAAATGAGCGCAAGGTGAATTAATGATTACAGGTGCAACATATATATAAGCATAACTAATAACCAAGGAAAAGAATAGAGAAAAAAGTTACATTCAAACTTGCAGCTGGGTGAGTAGGTGGAATCAACCGTCTCGATGTCAGGATTGTAGCTTCAGAATCAGAACATGAGGTTTCAATGCATATGCCTGTGCATTCACGTAACTTGGTATCACCTACGCACAGAGAGAAAGTCAAGCGTGCAGACAAAATAACTGGTCACTAAAAACAGGCAATATGAGAAAGTATTAACAGCAAGTATAATCACTAACCATCGAACGAAGCAAGCGACACGACACTCCTACGCAATCTTGAAACTACTTGCTCACTGAGTTCACTCAGGGCGCCTGGACTGGATTCACTCGAGCTGTCCAATCTCACTACGAAGGTACCTACCACACAAAGCTAGTTAACTGAAAATAAAATCATGTGTGATACAGTTAACAGAAGCGTCAATTTTACTACTTATTGTGAATATGTACTTGCAGGAGAAGGGAAACAGCATGGACTCACTTGGCCTAGCTACCCTTTTGTAAGGGCGTTGCTCTTCATCGCCTCTCACCAGCCGCCGCTTGTTTTTCATCATCGATCTTCTCAAATCCAGCCTGAGCAGCAACGAATGAAATTCAACTAACACAGGTTGATCTGATTACACAACTAGAATTGGGTATGGTTGCCAGACAAATTGGCTATCCGTACACAAATAGATCGGAGTTGGAAACTAGGTCAAAAATATCATAGAAACTGCGCCAGATTACTGTGGTGGAATCGCTCTAAGAAACTGGGTGGGTTAGTTGAAGTATCTGTATACAACCAAGAAAGAAAGAGAGATTTTGAATTAGATCTCGGACAATCCAAGCAACCAAAATTCGACCGGAGGTGGAGAAGGGATACCTTCGAAACAAGCTCACCGGCCGCCGCTGGATTCGTCGACGGAAGGACCTCTGCTCCAACTTTTGTTTTTTGAGCCGACCTTTTTTTTAGGCGACCTCTTGTCCAACTTAGTCCAGCCGCGAGAGGGATTGATCTCTGGCCGAAGGAGCGTTTTATCTGGGCCGGCCCACTAGCTCCTGTTTTAGAACCTTCCATTCGGTTTTGGGCGGTTCGTGGAAGCTTCCGGTCAGTTTTTTTTGCTTTCATTTTTCCTGTTTCCTCGAACTCAAAAATCATGTAGGGTTCAACCATATCCTCAAGAAATAGTACAACTACTCAAATAAAGACATGAAGGTTAGGGACAAGTTATAAGCCGGCATCAAGTCAGTGAAGGGAGAAGGCATGGTGGTGGTATGCGGCTTGTAGTTTATGCCGAGCTTCATGCTAGGAAGGAACATATGTCTGTGCGGTGGTCGAAGCTCTGCCACAACATGGTGCCGTTTGACGATCGAACTACAAGATTACCGGTGTTCAGAAGCACCGCCGTTGGGGTAGACGAGACCAGACCAGTGGTCACACGTTGGTTGTTGCCCAAATGACACGGCTCCCGCGACCATCGTCGGAGAGAACCAGATTAGAGTTCTTGGTGAGGGAGAGCTTCGGTGTTGAGGAAGTTGTGTTGGTGGCCGGGGCATCTCGATTGGCGACCCACACAACAGTGAGCTCAGGAATGTCATTATACCATATGCCTAGGTACAGGCTGGCCGGAGTGGAGTTGGAGGGGTTGAAGAAGCCCAGGGCGAATCCACCATCATTGGAGACGATGGTGCCGGGGACAAGCCGGTCTTGGGAAGCACTTAGTGGCAGGGAGAAGATGATCATGACCGTGGTGTAGCTGGTGAGAGCCGGCCAATCCATGAGTCGACCAGGGTTAGATCCGAGTACTAACTAAGGTCGAACAAAGGCTGCCCATAGTGATGGTATCTTAGCCGGCAGTGGCGGAGCTATGTAGCTTCCTGGGGGGCTGTGGCCCCTCAATATTGAAGCAACTTGTGAAGAAAAAATTATTATGAGGACTTAGATGAGAATTTTTTTGCTTTTGGCCCCCCCAAGCACTCATATTTACCTTTCGCCCCCCCAGATAATTTTGTCTAGCTCCGCCACTGTTAGCCGGTATCATGCACTCGGGACTAGCAAACACTATGAGTAGCTAACTAGTTAGGCTAATTGGGAGTAATTACGTACTTCCCGTAAAACAAAAAGCTAGGAGTAAGTACATGATTATACCAGTCCTTGGTCTACAAGCAAGAGGTGCTTAATTTGACTTGACTAAGCAGCATCCACGAATGTTCGATCGCGGCAGCAGATGATTGGATAATGCAAACATTCTTTGAATTCTAGTAGTTGAGACTTGACATATAAGTTGTCCACATCGGATTGGGATGCCACCATCACTGCTTACTGGTCAATAGCTGTTGTGTATCAACACTTCTGGTCAGACTGAAACATTAAGCTATATAGTTGAGGAGGATGTTGTCACGTCCCAATAGTCGAAGTAGGGTTTGGTGGATGAATTGGGGATCTCGGAGAACGGGGAATCGATATTGTAGGATCCCAATATTTTATATACAGCAATCATACTGTAGGGTTAAACAAGAAATATTTTACGTTTAATGTACTAACAGCCCTATTACACTTTTTTATGTAGAGCTCGTAATGGGGCAGTGGATGACAGGCTTTCTGATACAGTGATAATTGATTGTTCGAGAAATTGGATCTTTTGCCCCAGTTTACTTTCTAACTTTGATAATTTGCCCCCCCAATCGGGTGGGGCCGGGACCACTAGGCATTGACATAACCCTGGGTTAAATCATCAAACCCCATGTAAAGTGGGCCAAATGATCCAAATCCCTGTGATTGTTCATAGAATACCTTGGTTGGTTTCCCTTTTAATGCTTGTTGTGATTTGTGTTCGCCTTTTACATGACAAAGAAATCAGTCTTCGCTCTGTTTTGGTACTATCAATGATTGCTTTCAGGAGCCTTCGTCTGACTTATTCCGTTTATTTCCTCCCGTCAATAATAAAGCAACAGGCCCAACTCCTGCCCGCAATGACTATTATGAAACTCCTTTTTGTGGATCTGTATGTGTCATCTGGATCACTGTGTGAGTATGATGTTTGGTTGGGTATGCACTAGATGATATCTGATGTTTGGCTGGGTATGCAGTAGATAATATCTGATGTTTTTATTGTGGTAGTTCGGATCTCATTTTCTGTCAGTTCTCCAGTTTTTTCAGTATATACCATAATTTCTGGTGGTTTTTTGTTGCACAAAATTGGTCAAAATTCACATAATTCAAACAAAATATAAATATCTCATAGTTTACAAGCCAAATAAAATTTAAATTTCCTCAAATACATTTGAAAGAAAAAATAGCTGACACATCTATTGATTGTCAATGTGAGCCCACATATGCTCAACCAAATCAATTTGCAGTTGAATGTGAGTTTTCCAATCACGCATTTGATGATGAAATTCGGTGAAGCGTGCAAACGTTGCCACTCCTTCATGCTCAGACACAACATTATCACCCTGAAATACAAACCCTTGGTCGTAGATATCATCCGGAAGCTCATGTTCTATGATCATGTTGTGCATGATCACACAAGCAGTAATCACCTCCCACAATTTCTTGGTTCTCCAAGTTCTAACAGGATACCAAACGATGCCCCGTCGTGATTGAAGAACACCAAAGGCACGCCCCACATCCTTCCTAGCACTCTCTTGTTCTTGGTCAAATCTCTTCCTCTTCTCTTGTACAGGGTTGGGGATTGTCTTTAAAAGAGTAGTCCATTGAGGATAGATACCGTCAGCTAGATAGTATCCTTTGTCGTAGTGGTGACCATTGATCTCAACATTGACCTCCGGGCAGTTGCCTTCTACAAGCATTGCAAACGACGGAGAGATCTAAAGCACGTTGATGTCGTTGTAAGATCCAGCCATGCTGAAGAAAGAGTGCCAAACCCAGAGATCTGGTGAAGCCATGGCCTCAAGTATGACATTGCAAATTTTGATATGGCCCATATACTGCCACTGCCAAGCAGAAGGGTGGTTCTTCCACTGCCAGTGCATACAATCTATACTACCAAGCATCCCCGAAAAGCTCCTACTTGCATTGATCGCCAGTCGGGCTATATCTGCATCGGTTGGCTCTCTCAAGTACTCCGGCCCAAACACTGATACCACAGCCTTGCAAAACTTATACATGGAGTCTAGGCATGTGGACTCGCTCATTCGGACATACTCATCAATGAGATCACCGGGTACTCCGTAAGCAAGTATCTGAATAGCTGCAGTGTATTTCTGATAAGAGGAGAAGCCAATCTTTCCCAGGGCATCCTCCTTGCACTCGAAATAGTTATAGTACGCCACCCCCTCTCCCGGATAAGGTTGAACACATGTCTAGCCATCCGGAAACGACGTCGGAATAGATGGTGTTTGAAGAGCAGGTTAGGGGACTTGAAGTAGTCTTACCAGAGTCGGCAATGGCGGCTCTCTTGGTTCCGATTCAACACCAAAGTAATCTCCGGGATCAAGCCCCTGAACATCGGCCGCTACCTACTTATGTGGTCATGGACGACCAAAGCAGCAACCACAATCTCCTCATCATCGGATGAAGAATCATTTGAATCGCAAATGAAATTGTGGAAACAATACTCGTAGTTAGAGTCCACTTGTACCTTGTGGACAAACCGTCGAACACCTTGCGGGTATCGTGGAGGAAGCCTGCCGTTGAAGAGCCTCGGGCCGCTCCAAGACCAGGTAGAAGGTATGTCGGCGTGGAGGCGTACGTGGCGGCGTCCGGCGAGCGAGGTAGCCACGCTTGTGTGCTGCCGGCAGAGGGAGGCGAGGAGGTGGTAGCGTCGGCGTT